GGGATGCGGCGGGGTACCCACGAGGGTGGATTGATGTTTGTGGTACGAATTCAAAACCTCATTAAACTGACGATGAATCTGGACGCTTTTGGAGATGGAGATTGTTGAAGACGCGTTGCGTTAGGTTCTCCGACCAAGATTCGTACAACCGACATGGAAAATCCAGTCGGGAAGCTTCCATTACAGACGCAATAAAGAACGGAACTCCAATAATAACTACAGTTCGGGCTGGTTCGGCCCAACATTCAATCTTCAGCAGAGATACGCGTTTGATACGGAGTGCAGGTGAAGAATAGTGCGCCAGCAGCTGTCTCCTGGGCCATTGCGGCCCATGGTAGGCCACAATGATCAGAACTCAATCCGCAAATAGCTATCGAGTTGTCCGTCTGCTCCGTCTCACTCAGCCCAGATTACGCGACAGCTTCACACGCAACGGAACCAAACGAATATAAAACCAATGCCCTTCAAGTTTAATTCTACTTATCGCCAGCACACTTGAACCTCCACAGCACAACCAATGCAACTTAAGATCTCCTCTCTCGTCCTCGTCGCAGCTTTGTTCGTCACAAAAGGGGCGGCCTGGTCCGATCCAGCAGGGCATGCCTTCATTCCTGCCAACGCTACGGATGCGCGTTCGCCGTGCCCGGGACTCAATACGTGAATCTCACTGTCCCGCTATGATATCTTAGCTCATGTTCCAAAGGCTTGCCAACCACGGCTATCTTCCGCGCGACGGACGCAACTTTACCGTCACCACGCTCATGGACGCCGCTCTGGGTGCGTTAAGATCTGCTTTGCGATATGCAAATCGTGTTCCCATCCTTTTGCACTGCAGAGGCGTTCAATTTGAATTGGGAGACCATCCTCGTGGCGGCGAAATTCGGGCTGGTTACTAGAGCCGATGTCAATAGCTTCGACAAGATGAGCCTCGATGCACTTGCGATGTGAGTTACACGGTGAATTAATTCTCCCCATACCGAGTTCAATACAGCCACAACATCATCGAGCACGACGCGTCCATCTCGCGCAACGACTTTGGCGACGGGACTGGCGACAACGTACACTTCAACGAGACGACGTTTTCGGTGATGGCGAATTCCAACCCGGGGAAGGATTACTACGAGCCAGCATCTGCCGGAATGGTACAGCGCGCGCGCCTCGCGCATTCGGTGGCTACAAACCCGAACGTGACCAACACGCTCAAAGAATTCGATCTGCGGTGCCGCGAGTCCGCGTTGTTTCTCAGCATCTTCGGCGACCCACTCACGGGCATGGCACCAAAGAAGTGAGTCGCGTGTCAGTACAAGTAGCATTTATTGATCACGACTGTCCGATTCTAGGTTCGTGGATGTTTTCTTCCGTGAAGAGCGCCTCCCCGCTACGGAGGGATGGAAGAAGCCAGCGATCCTCGTCACGGACGAGACGTTGAGCCCTTTGGAGAAAATCATTGGCGCTATGTCTGTGTGGAACGCAACCCAGGCTTGCGAGCCGCTCATATTGGGACCTGGCTTTGTCCTTTAGTGGGTCGGTATCGAATGCCCATCCCAATTTGGCGCACTTTCCTTGTCATTGTTCTGGAGTATGGAGTTTGAAGTTTGAATACGATCATTCATGTTATCTGGTTTTAGAGTCCAGATGATCATGAGTGGTGTGCCTGTGACCTCATATGGTGTTCCCAAGTCCATTGTGTTTAACGCGCAATGCTGTCCCGTCCTCGGAGCATCATCATTCTTCCGTCCCGCTCGTTCCTGCATTATTTGCTTCCGAGTGATCCCAGTGCTGATGTGCAGCCCGTTAATGAAATGATTCCGCGGGTTATCTACGCCGCAGGAACTCCCATGTTGGATTGCTGCGATGTTCTTTTTGGCCTAGGCACACACCTGCGGGACAGTCAGACCTCCAGATTGCGAACTGCGTGCCAATTGAATCAGCGTAAGGAGGCTTACTTTCCAAGGTTCGCTTTGCCGGCGCCGTTGGAATTATCCCGCATTGAAATGATGCGACGGAAGTTTCGAGGGTTGATTCGCACAGCTAATGCACGGTCGCGGGCGGAGCCGCAGCGACCTGGAGTTCTATACTCCGGTCCGTTTTTCGCTGTGTCGGTCCTGTAATCTCATCCATTTGTCGGTATGTATTTTGCTGATTGAGATCGTACATCAATGATTTACATAGTCAAAGGAGCACACCGATTGAAGTGCAAATGGTCACAGGGTCGGGGCATGGACTAGCCAACTTGGATGGGAGGAGGTCAATATGGTTGCTATCCGTGTCGGCTGTGTCTTGAAGACACGGACATGTTTCATTTCCAGGTATCGGAGCAACGGACTGGAAAGCGCAGGCGTCGCGGAATCAATGCTACGGCAGCTACCATCAGCTGAAACCCGCTAGCTTCTTACGGGTCAGTCAACACTGATAGCACCTAACATCGATGAGTTAAATTCTATTGTTAGGATGATTCCGACCTTTACCTAGCTCGTATCTATAGCTGTGTTAGTCTCTCCGTGTATTTCCGGAACTTAACTACGTGTGGCGTTCCTGAGCGGCACCGAGTAAAGGAGAGTGTGAATCTATAAATTGGGGCCACAGTTATCAAGAGGTTTCTGCAGGCCCCGCTAGCTTTCACGTCGGCCACATATTCCCTCCCTCTCATCCTTGTCATTTATTCTCAGCGCAACTAACGGTGTCACGTCAGAGTAGCATTCTACTCACCATGTTGTTCACCTCCTCCATCATCATTGCCGTCGTCGCCTCCGCACTCACCGTCCGCGCTGCGCCGACCGCTTCCGTTTTCCCCACCGCGTCTGTTTTCCCCACCGCGTCTGTTTCCCCCACGGCGTCCGTTTCCCCCACGGCGTCCGTCTCCGCCACCGTTTCCGTTTCCCAACCGCCCCCGGTCCCGCTCGTCTCAAACGCGCCCGCGATCGCCGCAGGTCTCAAGACGCAGGCCAGCGTCAACGACCGTTTCAAGAAGCTCCTCACAGACGGCAACGGGAATCTCCTCACTGGCGACGCCCTCCGTCAACTCACCGTCTTCGACTTCAATAACCAGGCAGACGCGCCCGGCGCCAAGGGCGGCTCCATTCTCCTTGCGACCGTTGACAACTTTCCCATCCTCGAGGAGCTCGGCATTTCCGGTGCGATCTCCCTCGTCGAGCCCTGCGGCTTGAACATCCCGCACACGCACCCGCGCGCGAGCGAGATGTTCACCGTCATTGATGGGATTCTGGACACTGGCTTCGTGCAGGTGTGATTTATTGTTGCTCTCCCACGCGTGCGGCGACTGATAAGGAATCTAGGAGAATGGTTTCAACGCCGAGATTGAGACGCAGTTGGGGAAGTACCAGGCAACGGTGTTCCCAATGGGCAGTATCCACTATCAGCAGAACCCAACCTGCTCGCCCGCCGTTTTTGTCGCCTCGCTGAACAGCGAGGACCCGGGGCGGAGCGATATCGCGACGAATTTCTGGATGCTGTCCGCTGACGTCGTGGACGCGGCTCTCGGATTCCCCGAGACGATTGGGGGGTCGACGATCGATGCGTGGCGCGCGCACTTGCCGCCGAATTTGGCGGCTGGGGTGGACAGCTGCTTGAAGGCGTGTGGGTTGTCGCAGTGAGGTCTTCTTGAGCGCGTGGTGCCGCCCACGATCTTTAACATTACTTGGACAATGACCTGCGTATATCTGACAACTCGTCATAATTTAAATGGACACGTTAGATAACCAATGTAGATGTACTTACAATCCTTTTGTAATATGTTTGCGACCTTGTAATCATCAGTAATCCCACGCTAATTCAATGCGCAGCCCAACGCTGATTCGACGGAAACCTGCCAACGCAAAGGCTGCGGACCGACCGATGTATACCTTCGACATTCGCACGGTGAAAAGTTGCATCTGTTTCATGGACTGCCCTTTTCTGAAACCCAACGGATTTCGCGAGTGCAAAGCCCACCATCGGTTATCGATTATCGTCAAGGCCCAAGGATGTCAGTCGCAAACGGGTGCATTAACAGCGTAGAACGGAGATATTCCGAATACAGCCTTCCCCTTCATCCTGGACGGCGGCGCTGAGTCTGACAAGTTCCATAACGAAATTTGGCCTGATAGATACATAGGCCTGAAAGCGCTCCAAGTTCCGTGAACATCGGCCTGACTGTGAACATCGTAATCCATAGAGTAGAGGTTCCGCAAATCTTTGCTCCACACAGCCGAAATGCGAGGGAGGGAGGGAAGATGTCCATCTCAGCGCACGCCGGGATCCAGACTGACGCAGTGTCGACTGAGGAGTAATACGAGCCACAAAGAGACTTCGATTGTCGAAAACCGGCGCTGAGACGTCAGAAGGGATATAAGCGCACGAATTTGAGTCTAGGGGAAGTGCAGAACAGGCTAACTTGAGAGGAATCCGCCAGCACCGGCGCGGAATTGAACAAAGCATAAGTGCGGCGCAGTCAACGCAGTAAGTCATCCAAGAAATCTTGCATGTTATCCTTGGGATCCTTGGGAGGCGCCTCTGAGCCATCTGCACGCCTCGGCGGCGGCGCCTCCACATACACGGTCCCTGTACAAGCACAATGACATGGCGCAACATACAAAACTGATCACTCACCAGGTTTACGTTCACGCTCCGTGGGGCCCGCAGCCTTTCGCAATGTCTCCGATTTCGCTGTGAATCGAGATTACTTGCCCAGCCCGCCGCGCGACTTTGCTCTGCCCCGGGCCCGCGCTGAGGACGGAACACTGTTCGACGCGGATTCGGACATGATGAGCGCGAAGTGGAAGAGGGTGACACGTCACGGTCAGCGGAAGCGCATTCGGGATTGCGGCGGAGTTCAACTTAGGACGGGAAAATGGCGTAAAAATTTGTTCGATGTAATACCCAACATTCTATAGCTACTTGCTAATTGCACCTGATACGTGAGTCAGAGTCAAAATCATTCAAGCTCCTCAGCCCCCCGGGCAACCCCCGGGCCTGATGTCAAACAATGGCGCCGGCAGATGTCGCAGGTGGTGTAATGGTACCACACTCTCCTTTCAAGCTGTTTTGAGATCACGAGAGAAACCGGGGTTCGAGTCCTCGCCTGCGGCGCTTTTTCGTGAATTCGGCTGCCTATGACCGACGATTGACCATGCCATGCGAGCCAAATCGGTAACACATGTTGCTTAGTACGGATGAATGTCTACAATATCATCCCCTGTAGCGACCAGCGCATTAAACTCATCGCTGTCCACCTCGCGCTCAAGCATATCTCGCGGGTCGCGCCAACTCCTCCGTCCACTCATGGAGGCGCGTACTATCCGACCGCAGCACGAAAAATCGAATGCAGCATCTCAGGTCCGGCGGGTACAACAGCGGTGTCGACCTCGACGAAGTAATATCGGCTTTCGCACCCGCTGCAACGGCGTAGAGCGTTGCGGGCCGTCACCACGTTGCATTGAGGTGTCTTTGGTTCAGTAATGAAAAGGCGAGTACCAATAGCACCTACCGAAAGTTGAAACATTGCCACAGAATCTCAAGGCCCTGCAGACGCACTGTCGAAATCGGCCTTGCGCGCAAGTGAGCCCTGCCCAACTCGAACCACGTCGCTCGGCAGTCATGTCTGCAGTTGCGGCGCCTAACCCGCAAGATCCAAACTTGCCAGCGGCTTCGCGAGAGAGAGAGCGGATGGCGGAGTAGTACTGGTAGTATATGACATCATCGTCAGTCCGTGGTGACGCTGAATTGCGCAGAAAGTCCACTTACTTGTGTGCCCGTCGCTCAGTAGTGCCACGCTCCAGAATAATTTCAATAAAATGGAACGAAAGACGATGTACGCCCGGGCAGGCGGGCCGACTGTTGATCGCCGACAACAGGCCGACAAGCGGCCGTGGCAGTGCTTTACTTCGATCACCCCATCAATATTGCTCTCTCTGCCACGACCACCATCTCCTCCCCCGTCGCTCGTTTCTCCCTCTCATACCCTGGTAGTAGGCTATTGGCGCGCACAATGATTGAAGGAAAGTATATCGGCTTTGCGCTGGCCGTTGCAGGCTCAGCGGCTATCGGGATGAGCACCGTCATCACAAAAATGGTCGCTACCCACGCAGACACCCTGAGGAGACGCTCACCGCGTTTACAGGGCTTGATTGCGGCGGGCGACGGTGCTTCTGCGACGGAAAACATGTCTTATCTGCGGAATGGGATTTGGTGGAGTGGAATGGCGGCCCGTGAGTCGAGCCAGACACGCTGACGTGTAATCGCGCACTCATTCGCCTTGGACAGTGGTTGTGGGTGAATGTGAGCTTGATTTCTGTTCAAAATTCCCGGATCTTTATGCTGATGGAGGGTAGTGGCTAATTTTGCCGCTTATACCTTCGCGCCGCCAATAATGGTCACCCCGCTCGGCGCGCTCAGCGTAATTGTCGGGTACGCAGAAAGCGCTTCATTTCACTTCCATCGCGCGCTCAAACATCAATCCATATCAGTGCCATACTCGCAGCAGTCATGCTCAAGGAGCGGCTGGGACATCTTGGGCGCGTTGGGTGCGGGCTCTGTATCTTGGGGAGCTCGATCATCGTTCTCCATGCGCCAGAGGACCAGGAATTAGAAACGGTAACCCAATTCCTAGAATTTGCCGTTGCTCCCGGTGCGCACTTCGTCCCCGCGTGTCTCCTGCTTGGCTAACACTCACCGACTGCCAGGTTTCTTGCTTTATTGTTTCACTGTATGCGTGTTCTCGCTGGTGATGGCATACGGAGTAGCCCCGAAGCACGGACGCACCAACCCACTCGTTTATATATCAATCGCGTCCCTCGTCGGTTCTGTCTCGGGTGCGTACCGTTCAAATTTAGTCCTAATCGCACTTCTAATACGCCTGCAGTCATGTTCGTCAAAGGTTTCGGTGTCGCCGTCAAGCTGACCTTCGCGGGCCACAACCAGTTCATCTACCCGAGTACCTACCTCTTCGCCTTCATCTTCGTCGCCTGCATCGTCATCCAACTCAACTACGCCAACAAAGCCCTCGATATATTCTCCGTCAATCTGTCCGTCCGTCCCACCCTTCCATTCACTTCACGCTCTAATCCCAATTCACGCTCTAATCTCACTTCACGCTCTAATCCCAAACATCCGCAGAGTCAACCCGATGTACTACGTCGGCTTCTGCACGGCCACGATCGTCGCGTCGCTCATCCTCTTCAAGGGGTTCAACACCACCGACGCCGCCACCACCATCTCCCTCCTCTGCGGCTTCGCCGTCACCTTCCTCGGCGTGCACGTCCTCAACCTCGCCCTGCTCGACGAGTCCGCGCAGGCGCAGGTTGCGCTCGAGGGCGGGCACTCGCCGTGGCACCCCGCGCACAGCCGCGGCTCGCTCAACGGCCTGCGCACGCCGCTGTTCGGCGCGTTTGCGATCGATGCGGAGGACGGCGGGGGCGTGCGGTTGCCGTTGCATCAGCTGCTGGAGGAGGAGGATGAGGAGGATGAGGGTGGGGATGGGCGCGTTGATGTTGGCGGGAGTCGCGCGTCGCCGCACGGTATCCGCATATCGCGCCCGTTGTAGAGGGGTGTTCGTGGGAATACATCTATTCGTTTCCACCCTGAGGATCCGAGGGAATCGCGGCAAGCATCGATTTGGAGTCCTACTTATCAAAGCGGGGTGTCTAGACAACGTCCTGCTCAAACTCACTCCAGATCTTCCACAACGACACACACGGCCGCTGATATCCAACTTCTGTTCACTTATGCATGCACTCGCAACACGGCCGCCGAAAGTTCAAGTCTGATCTGGTTTTCTAGCTCTATGTAATTTGTTTCAGCGCGGCTCTTCACTGCTCATATTCTGCCTTCACACAGCAAGGCGTGCTACTTGGTTGAAACCGGTGATCTCGGCGCCCAATTGAAAAAAAAAACAGCGGTACCTGATGTCTGTCCAGATCTTGCGCCGGCGTCCAGGGCACACCCCCGGTCATCAACAATGCACGGGTGGCCGATATGGACTTCACACCAGACGGGAAGATGCGACTCACAGTGCATGAGATGGCGTTGCAGTTTGCGGAGCAGGCACGACGGATGGCGTTCTACCAAGCCGGGGCGAGGGAACAGAGCGCAACCAATGTTTCTGTGACTCCGTTTGACCTCGGCAAGGGTTGAGATCGGTGTGTTTCATTGCGTGTTCACTGTATATGGTACCATGTATGATAACTCGAGAATTGGCACCTCGTAAACGATCTTCACCTCGTGGTTGAAAACGCTGGCCACGAAGTTTAAAGATGAGCCAGGAGAGATGTTGCGTCCCCTGCCCTCATCGTTCTGATATTACCATGCGGAGGGTCCTATTGAGCTACTATCATGACCGGGAAGCGCCCACAGACGCGAGCAAGACGCGACGCGTTCTCAACACGTGCTGAGAAAAAGTAAATTTCAATTGAGTCGGCTAACCAACTTTAAAAGACAACCCGCAGCTTGACCGCAGCCCACGTGTGGCCAGCGCACAGCCCGTCCGCAGCGCTTTATAGACCCAACTCAAGGCGATTCCCACCCCACTTGTCTTGTCCTCTACTCTCATGTAGCACTTCCTTTTTCTAATTTTCTTTCACCGTCGCTACTCATGGCAATCGCTGGACGCATGTGCCCAAGATCGACCTCAATTCACCCCTCTGCGGTAGGACTCGCTTGTTACCCAGCGTCGCGATCCTGATTGCAGCTGCGTCGTAGACGTTCGCCTGCCCACGAAGAGAAGTTGGTACCGTCAGTGGCTTGTAAAGTCTCGTACGTCTGTTCTGTCGTTTTGGGCATTCGCACCTTCTCCCATCCGTTCGCGTTCATCTTCCACCCACTCGGACCTCTCCCGTCTGTCTGTCCCACTTCATTCTACCTACTCTGGACTCTCCACTTTCTTTTCTTTTCTTTTGCTGTGGTCCCACACACCTCGACCATTTCTCTTTCTTTCTTACTTTCGTTCCTCAGCGGCAGCTACCTCGTCCGTTTGACTTATAACGCCCTGCCCATAGGTTATGAACAGCATAGTTCAACTACAAAGTGAGGCCCTCTTTCATGAACCTCAACATCTTCATCTCAATTATTTTCGTCAAGGTTGAATTCGACCTTGTATCAGACCATGATCAATTTCTCGCGCATGGTGTTCGTCCCAAGCAAGGCATCTTATCGCAACAGCAGGCTGACACACGGCCACAACTACTACCACGGAGGATCTCAGCGCGTTCTTTTTCTCGTGGACCTGGGTCGCCTTCGCGATCCATAAACCACGAGGAAATTTCTGCAGCTCTGATTCTCCGTAGGCGTGTTGTTGCCCTGGTTCAGCCTGATGTTGTGATATGGTTCCTTGCCTGGGTTGAATCCCATGACGACGCGGCCGACATTTTCAACTTTGCCATCACTGTCCTCGTGAGCCATCACTGCCCGCGTAAGCCATCCCTGCCCGTTCCTTCAATCTCTTATTGATGCACGTTCGTTGATATACCTAGTTCTCCGCAACCTTCAAGCTGAACTAGACATAGCATGCAGGGTCCCCATTTACTACGCGCATATTTTTTCCCTTCGAATCCTCTTAGTTGGACGATGTTCATTGCCGTTGTTCCTCTGATGTCTCTTTTACAATATCATACTTGAAACCCAATACATGCGCTCTTGAACGACGATCACTGACTCTTGAGTCGCTTCTAAATCTCATGAAAGCCGTCTTTCAACTCTCCTCACACAACTTGCTGAGGGAATAATTCCGAGCCGCTGAGCTCGCTCGACGTCTCCTCGAACGTTTTGTTGAAGAAATACGTTAAAGAAATACGTGGGATCTGTGCCACTTCTTAGCACTAACTGTTCGCGAGTGTTCAGACTCGGTTGGAACTTGTGGAACAGCCTCCGATCGAACTTTGCTCGAACTTGGCCCACTGACTCCAAGTTCCAACAGCGGGAAAATGCCTCTTTTCCTGATCTTTTCTGGCTTGTTGGGTTCCCTGCAGATGTGATCATGGCTGAAGTCTTAGCGTGGTGCCAACTCATGAAAGTAAATCACATTGGTCTTGTTTGGGTTGTTTGGGCTACTAGTATGTGCCGGTGATCCGCATCACGATGCAGCACAGCCTTGCAA